ATGATAAACTAAAAGCAACCATCATATGAGGGAAAAAAACGTAATTATTCATTCAGGTTGAAAGTATTTGTCATTCCTGAACTAATTTTCACATAGAATGAATATTTCAATGTCTTGTAAAAAGCAAAAGATAACAAGATGTACTTGTGAAACACTTATGCCCCTTATGACAGCTTATGGCGCGCGTTGTATTTTCTCAAACGCAAATCAAACTCCAAGGTGAAAATCAAAAGATCGAATTTGTTGGTATCCAAGGAAAGTAATGTCTTAAATCATAAAGAAAATATGAAAGTCCTGCTTCTAACTTTTCAAAACTTATGACCAAGCTTAAAGTTTTTTTAACAGTGGGTCACACTCTCATTCAAAGGTAAGAAGCATAAAAGTCCTTGCACCAATTGTTCAAAAGTTTTGGCCAAGGTTAAAGTTTGATTTTTTGTAAAAGTGGGTCTAACTCCAAGGTCAGGTTCAGAGTTCAAATATGGTGGTTCCCATAAAAAGTTCTAATCACAAGGAATATATCTGTGAAATATAAAAGTCATAGCCCCGTCCACACAGGTTTCTAACAAGCTAGGTTTAAGTATTTGCAGACGGACAGATAGACAAACAGGACAAAAACTATATACTACCGTATCTTTGATTACTGGAGCATAACAAATATGTTGCCATATACATTAAAAAACCGAACAATTTAAACTTTTTTGGATATCAGTGTAATTGTGTAGACTTGCCATGAGCAATGTCCGTTAAACTTTCCACTGCGTTGGCAGGTAGTGGATTTCTTCTGTTGCCAAATTCCAAACAGTCAATTACAGTGTCAACAATATCAACCGTTATATTCTGTTAATTTGGATAAAATTATTAATGCTTGATTAAACATTTAATAATCAACATTTTAAAAATGGCTGATTTGGGAAGAAAAAGTAGGATAGAATTTTGATAATAGAATTGAAAATAGCTGGAAAAGAACCAAAATGGTTAATAGTATTGTGGATATTATGACTGTATTTATCATCTTAAGCTAATTGATTTAATGTCAATAGTTACTCAGTTTAATTGACATAATTTTTTGGTATCACAAATATCACAAATTACAATTTCTATTAATATTTAATTTATACAAACCACTGCCTCCAAAGACAAATAAGGTTGAAAGCGAGTCAGAGCATCCAGGGTGCTAAAAATTTGTTGCATATCTGCTAATTTGAATCTGTCAGAGGAATTTGAACAGCCAGGGGTAACAACGCTTTGGACTAGTTGCAGAATTTTCACAACTTTTTGCAATTGTAAAATATGAGTCATGCTAAGCAATTATGGAAGTTAACTAAATCTAGCTATAAAAACTGATAAGGCCTTTTGTGACTAAAATGGACGAAACAATCTACATACTTTTAAATTATCGCAATTTAATTAATAAGGTAATTTGTACAAAAATATCTTTAATTTATGAAAAACCGAAATAATTAATTATCAACCTCTTTAATGTAACTACTGTGACAATCTGAACCAATCTAAGGGAAAAAATCTAAACTGACTTTCTGGATCAATCAGAGAAAAGGGTATCTATAAAACTGACTGGACCAATTAGAGAGGTACACTATTAATAAGATTATCTGGACCAATCAGAAAAGTAAACCAATACTAAAATTGTTTGGACCCGTCAGAGAACTACACTACTTTTAAAACTGTATTAGCCGGTCAAATCAGAGAAGTACATTACTTATGAGACTATCTGGACCAACCAGAGAACAAATTTCCTGATCAACCTTATGAAACATAATAAGTTTCGAAAATTTTATGTGTACAGAATTAATTAACCTGTTGATAAACAAGAAACACAGGCTTCAATGCAGACGTGTCGATTAGGATAGACTCCGCACCTTCTCTCACTTCTTCTTCAGTCGTTGTAGCATCAGTCTAAAAGATGGATTTGCAAGAAGGTAATTCAAAAATAAAGATAATCAAGAATGTATGAATCTTACCTTTAGAAATAGTCCACTACTAAAGCCTTGAAATGTCCCCTAAAATGAAGACTTTTTTTGCAATAAATATAAAACAGGTACGCACAAAGGGAAATAGTTTGAAACCAGATGCAACAGCTCCCAAGAAATTCGAAGTTTGAATGTCGTTCCCCGATAGACTGTAAATGTTGAATTTTGATTCAAAGTTTTGAAGTGACAGCTCAATAGCTGAAGTATCATATACATCTATCGGCTGCAACGGGGATGGGTGTATAACCTGCAAAAGCAAACAATTAACACTTTATAGATAATCAGGTACAGAAAAACATTGAAAATCTTTAATAAACGTTTGCTTTATAGTTGTATAGAAACGTTTATAAATATCTTAATTAAAAATAGCATTGGTTTTGTAATTTGATAGGGGAAATGATGAAAAAGAAAATAGATAATATAAATCATAGTGATTTAATTATTACTGTTATGGATGAGGAATATATTCCACAATCCTCATAGATGTCAAAAACTCGAACTCGGACTGTTACAATGTGATTGAAAACTGGATCCCCCGGTTGTATTGGGACATCTAAGATGCTACTCTCGCCTACAAGCAAAGTAACATTATGTAGACCAAAATTTTCTGCATTGAAGAATGCAAAGGCAATTAAACGGAAATATAAAGTTCAATTGAAAGTCTATTTAAATGAAGAAATAGGTCTTATCAGCATCACTACTAAGAAAATAACAAGCATACATACATATTGAATTTATTCTAAGGTTTTTTTTTAGTCAAATGATTATTGCATGTTATATAAGATAGGATTAATAATACAATTTAGCATCAGAGAAAATATATAGCTATAAAAATTTACATACTTCCTTCATAGAGAAAATTGACTACGTTTTCCTCTCCGTGTGAAAAGTTTCTTTTTGTAACTGTTTCGTAAAGGTATGTGAATACATTTCTATCATCGTCTGTATCGAACCAATTTGAGCACTGTACGCTAAGAAGAACAACCAGCAAATCTGTTATGAAAATAAAATATTAAGGATAGTATTTATAGTTTTTGTGGCACCACAATTTTATTAACCTTTTAATGTTATATAAACGTCATTTAAAAAAAATACCATCAAGCGTTGGTTCTTAAATCAATAAGAAGGACTTTTGATTTGGAGATTTTTTAAATGAAAGGCAAGTTTCCACAATGAAAGTGTTTTTTTTTTAAATGAGTACTAATGTATACAGGGAATTTTTTGCCCTCGTTTTATTTTCGCCCCTTTCGTATAACCTTGTATACAGTATTTCTTTTCCCCCAAATAACCCGATGATGATTACACTTACCTGTTCTCTGTTGGATAGAACAAGAACCACCAGTAGGTGGTGCATTAGTTTGTAACTTCCTGTATACGTGCCCACTTATCTCTGTTTCGTTGACCACTGACATATACAAAGTCACCAGATATGTTTCTCCAGGTGTTAAAGAGAATTTTGGCAAGACAAAGCTTTGCTTACTAGTATCTGAACAAAGAGAAAACACAAATTTCAACCACTATATAAATATGATAATAAACACTTATACACATTTATTTTTTTTTAGGTTTTGGAGTTTTTCTTTGCAAAATCATACTTATCTAATAAAGGTATATATATCTCAAAATAAAATAAATATACCATTCTTTAAAAAAAATGCTTCAGTTTTTGAGTTTTACAACAGATTTAGATATAACTTAAAAATAGAATTAATGAATGAAATATATATGTCTATAACAAACAGTACTCAAGCTCAAAAACAAAACACATTTTGGAGCACAGCAAACATGGATCTCTAACATCAGAGGTGGGTCAGGTGCAATGTAGGAGTGAGTATCCCTTGCCGACCATCACACCCTCCGTATGCTCCTTATTGTGATAGGTAAACAACAGAAAAATTAATATACCATTTTCGTTGACTACAGACAAAATCTGTGCCGGTTGAAACAAGCCCGATCCAATTTCATCTTCCCACAGTGTCCACACATATTGAACCTCATGTTCTGGTTTACAGGACCTGCACCAAGCAGTTAAAGCCAATTTCGATGACACGGACACTTTATCGTTACAATTCAGGCTGCAGCTGAAGAAGTGATTTAAATTAAATTGTATATATTATTAAAGAAATTTAATACAGTTTAGATACTTTGTGTACTTTATATTAAAAAAAAAACTTTCGCTCAAAATGAACAAAAAAAAATTTTATAACGATTAAATTATCTTTGATATTGTTAAATAATATCACTGTATTTTAACTAATAGCAATACTTTATCTGAAGATCAATCGGTCCCGCTTTCGTAAATCTTGCAATTTGCGTGAATTGGTTTTGAGATGATCCTTCCTCCACAGTTACCGTAATAGCATAGTCGAATGATTCGGATATTAAAGAGTTCAACTGACCAAAACCACATGACACCTCTTTAACAGAGCACGTGCCTGATGACTTGTCACTGAGTTGTATTTTCGGTCCTTCTAGATCCACTCGAATGAGTCTGTATAATAATCAGAATTGTTTCTTCATTTGGAAAAGAAGGTGCATTATACTTTTCCTTAAAATTGTATTACATAGATAATGATTTAGTCTTAATTTTAAGAAATATTTTATGCATATCAAGTTTCAGTAATGTTTCTAACACGACAATTTTTATTCAAAATGTAAAAGACAAAATAAGAAATCTTCTTTGTATACAGGTTTGGGATAAAAATGTTCTCAAAGTTTAAAAATTGATTTTGATATGATTTCAAACACCACATTTTTTTAAAAATTTGATTGAAAATGGAAACATAGCAGAGACACACGAGGTCAATGGGCCACATCGCTCACTTGATTAACTTTGTTCTTAACCTGACCCCCCCCCCCTTTGTAATACCTATTTTGACATATTGTCAATAAAATATGTTCAAAACAAAACCTATTTTGACCCCACCCTACCCTGGGGGTTATGATTTGAATCTACACTACCCAAGAATGCTTCTATATAAGTTTCAGCTTTCCTGACCTAGTGGCTCTTGAGAAGAAGATTTTTAAAGAGTTTTTTTTTAAGTATTTTACTGTAAAACTTGGGATTCCCTATTAAAAACATAAAATTCCCTTTACCCAAGAATTCTTTGTATTAAGTTTGGTTAAAATTGACCCAATGGTTCTTGAGAAGTTGAAATTGTAAAAAGTTTGCAGACGGATGGATAAACGGAAGAACGGACAAGGGGTGATCAGAAAACCTCACTAGAACTTTCAGCTCAAGTGAGCTAATAAAAAAAATGGAAAAACTGATTTTTCCTCAAATAATTATGAAAATAAAAGCACAATATATACCTTTTACAGGTAAATGTAAAAGTCAAGTTCTCATTTTCTCCTAAATCTCCGTTTGCAATACGAGATTCACTAAGCGCATCGAAAAGATAATTGCCTGATCTTATGACATAATCACCACCACTGATGTATGCAAAGGGAGAAGAATTGAAGAACCAAATATAGGTGTATTCGGATATCCATGTGTTGCCGAGGAATATATATAGCAGAAGATAATATTGTCCCCCTGGCAGTGTGTCTCTTTTGATGAGAAGGGTACCCTTTCCGTCATTCACGGGATTTTCATATGGATACGATGTATTTGTTTTCCCTTTGTTGTTTGCCCCATATACATACCATTGGAAATTCGGATTCTCATTTTCGCAGTAAATAAGCATTCTATTTCTAATGTACAAATCACTTGATTTATAGACTTTCATCGAGTTCGTTGGTACAGAGTATTGGCGATCGTATATTCCCTTAGAATCAAAACAACCATTCGTAACTGTAATTTTTTAGTCTTTTGTCATTGTTTTACCAGCAATGTAATTCCAACAGTGAATAATTATGGTATGTACTCCAAGGCTTGTGTACGTATACTCAAAGATGATAGGCTGTGTATTTGTTATATTTTGTGTCTTGTAGAAAACACTATGGCGATCAACTGCATCCCCCGCATTCATACTGCAGGTTATGTAAGGTCTGGGGTCGAAAGACAATGTATGTACACCGATTGTCATGTGTCCGGGTGGAAGAAAAATCGCATCTTGTTGAATGTAAAGGTATAAACTATCTTCTAGCTTGTAATCTGCAATCAAGGGTTGCTCAAGATATACTCTTTCTTCAGTTTCATTTCCATAGACAGATGGAATGTAAAATCCATAGTTCTGGAACATTACCGTATATGTATACTGGTTCATGAACTCATTGAGTGCAAAAGAAGAAGAATCTACGTAATAAGCTGAGGCAGAATCTGTATCAAATATGTATGTAGCGTTACCAGGAATCCCATGAGCTGCAAAGGTAACCTGTGTATCCCTGAAATCAAACGCTGTCTGATTACAGCTAAATTGGATCACCCCTAAAGTAATGTTCCGATAATGTGTGTAGGTATTATTTGGAACCCCTATTTCAATACTCATACTAAAGGTTCCTCTTCTGGTTGAAAATATGTGTGTTTTTGTTTCAGCTTTCAAAACAAATGTTTCAACAGGTGTTCCATCTCCAAAATTCCAATTGACAGTTAAACCTGGTGGAAATCGTTTAAATCTCTTTATGGAAATAGTAAATGTTACACTTACAGGTACAGAAACGGCTCGATAATAATGACGGTATTCCTCAGTCGGTTGAACTCGTTCCAATGTCATGCTCATGGGGATTACACTGGGATACTCAAAGTCAAACTCAGATAGACTGTATGATTCCGCATAGATAGTTGCATAAACACTTTGAGCAGTTAGGTCATTTGTGCAGGTGAAAATAACATTCTTTTGTCCCGCCGACTTATAAAAGTAAACCTTCAAAATCGATATGCCACTTATAAGATTAACTGATTGTGTTTCTTCTCCTTCGCCATATTGGAAAATGCACCTGACGTTTGTGGGGTTTGGCGCTCCTGATGAGTAATGTAACGTCAGCTCAGTATTCCCACCTGGTACTGGAACGTAATCCGTCAAAGGGCTGATAGATAAGCTTCCACCTGGAATTGGGTATTCAACCCTTATAACTTTATGATAAGTCTGGGTATACATTGTGTTCCAGAAGATGCATGTGATGTTGTAAACTCCAGGAGCTGCGTAGGAATGTGAAAGTGAATAGTACGTAAAGTAATCAGAAAATGCTTTCTGAAATGATCCTGATGTATGCCTGTAGTTGCTTTTGTCTCCAAAATCAAGAACGAAATGAAAATTAAAGTATTGAGCTGACGGAAAGTAAAGATATACCTGTTCATGAACTGCAGCAATGTCTTTTACAACAATTTCATCATTTATTTTATTCCAAGCATAAATGATCTTGCTAGCATTATTATTAGACCCGGAATAATATACGTATGCAGAAAGGGTATAGTTTCCTTGATAATAGCAATAAGTGTTGCATATTAATGTCCCGTTGCTATTCTTCAAATCCGAAATCTTTGGATAGGTAGTGCAACCTGTTCCGCCGCTGTTGTAAAATTGTACTTCAGCATAATCATCGTTGTTAGTTGTATTTATATCTGCTGTGAGTCTTACTTCCACACTCTCCCCAACGCGGTACACTTCTGAATCATTGAAGTGAATGGTAACATTTTCTATAATTTTGCCTGAAATTATAATTGTATATGTATTATTTAGGTTTTTTTTTTGGCATGTCTAATGATCTGTAAATTTAGCTAGTAGGTGATATAAGATTTATATATTTTGTAATGAGAGGTTATCAAAACATCCGATATTCTATATTATTCACTGATGCAATGAATTTTAACCGTTTGTGCATCTTATTAAGTTTTAAACATTTCTTCAACATCATATATTCTGTCTGTAAAATGAACAATATCACATATGGTTCATCTTTAAACAATTTGTAACTTTTTCCAGTAACCTATTGTATAACAACATGCAATCTGCAAAAAATACAATTCATATCTTATATATATACATTATTTTTCTAATGATGTACCGGATATCTTAGTTATTCAAAGGTCATTTTTTGAAGAAAAAAATTGCACTATACTTGGTTTTACAATGGAAATAGTACAATTCTCAGTTAATCGTGGACTTTCAGTAAGGCGTGGTATTCTCAACGTTACATGTACATCATTAACGTCAGAAATTTACACAGCCTTTCATTCACTGTTGAAATATACATTCCAGTGAATGTCAACGAGTGTGTATCAATGATCCAATGTTATTGTTTCGAACGGCAGAGGTGGGGTTTTAGTCGTCTAATCGTTGTCAACAACGACTTAAACCTGCTGATGTGATTAAGGACCCTCTCTACACCATTACAAAATGTTTTTTGGATATTGAGAAAAATACATATTATAAAGGTGTTAGTATTGAGCTTCTTTATATGATATTTAACATATGGTGCGTGGCATTTACCCCCAGGTAAAATAATCAAACACAACACAGTATCAGTGAATAGAAATCACTGTTGTTTACTTCCATAGAGAAAATACATGTAAATAACATGTTCAATTAATTTATCTTGGCCTTTAAAATGTTAAGAATACCTGAATTGATTACAAATTGTGTGATAAACTGTGAATTTCTAATTTTAAGAATTTAGATCTAAGGGCAGATCACCCTAACTGCAAAAAAAACCCCATAGAATAAGAACTCTTTAGTGTGCAGTGTAAAGAGGGTTGTTAATATCTTATAAATAAATGAGAATCTATTCGCCATTTGAGAGACGTTAATTAGGTATTGTCGAGAGAGTCACACCCTACTGAAATTCCAAGGCTGAGAATCGTACTATTCTTACTCGTCCCAAGAAAGTTTCTGAAAATATGAATACTTTTAATAATCTGCAGAATCTTAAGAGAAAACATTTGGAAATTTAAATATTTCTACATGGCAAAGTTGAAGGAAATACCGTAGACACCTTTTAACTTTAACATTAACGTCTACAGTCTCTAACACATCTAAGTATGGAACATGCGTGTCTTTTATTACGAGTTCACTGGATTATATATAGTAAACAGACGGATAAATGAACTTAATTGATAAAATTTTAACGTTGATACTTCTAAATCTTTTATTTAAAGCTACGACAAGCATTTATCTTCTTTTCATATTTAAAAGAGAATGTTTTAGTGATAAAAATCTACTTTAAATTATGTATCGAGTAATATAGGATGACAATTAATTCCTTTAGAAAGACAAAGCCTGAATGGATAAAGTCTTTCTAAAAAGTTTTCAATTCTACTTATTTTTCATAAAGTGTAATATAAGGGCTGTTCGAAAATTATTGAGACATTAACGTTAACTCCATAAAAGGCAGAGATAGATTCAGAAAAATTCATCAACATTTTATAAAGAAGGAATAAAACAATTATTCAAATTTCTAATTTATAGGATATGTAGATAAGTTCTGGTAGAATTATAAACATGCATATGTCTATCGACCTGGAGCAGCATTGCAACGTCATTTTAACGTCACGTCAGTCGATGTTTTCGCATGTGAAAAGATATGATCGGGTAGCGTTGACTCTTTTTTCTTTGTTATCATTTAAAACATTACAAAAATCAAACAATTCTTCAAAAAATGTGTAGCGGTTGCTACACCAGTATAAAACTGTCTAGTGTCATATATACCTGAGGACCTAGCATCACGCAATGCCAATATATGCAGCGCCGGTCAATGTTATTAATTCCCTAGCAGTATAAATTGATTTCCGATTTTACTCTGGTTAAATTATTGGTCAGACAAAAATATATACATATGAAATAACAATTCTTAGACATGTTTTTGTACTCGTTTTTATTGTTTTAACAAGTTGATCAGTCTGGAAAAGAGTTCTACATAGCGCTACACAATTTTAGGCATGCTCGCTGTTCCGCCTTGACGTCAAAATTCATTTTGTCGTCGTTATTATATTTCTTACCACGCCTCATTTTTTAATGATCTCCGTATTTCTCATCAGAAATATAACAATCTTGCACAACATGAAGACAAAGCAGAATTAAAAAGGTACATACATAAATTGTATTATTTAAAATAGCCAACATCCCTAAATAGTCAAGATATTATCAAAGAAAATATTGAATATAATTTTCAGGTTAAATTCACTATCATCTGTTGAAAAGGCAAAAAATCCTCTGATTGAGTAAACTTTATAATTACAGAATTGGTTCGTTACTTTTTCAATATAAAATAATGACTGCATTTATGAAGCAAAACTACTTATCAAAACTGAACCCTAAAGGTTATCAATGATTACTTATTAAGGTATTCACTCGTAAAATTTGTTATATAAAGGATTTTTAGACGTATATTTCGTAACAATACTCACATAGCATGACTCAAAATCGCAGAGAAAATAGGGGGTAAGTGTGCTTCTAGTTAAGCTACGGTACAATTAAGTTAAACTTTTCACTTAAATTTGAACTCTTTTATTTATCACTTTAACCTTTATCATATTCTATAAGATGTAACAATGGCTGTAATTATAATCTTATCATACGTAAAATAGATTTAATAATCTTTATCATTGAACAAATATTGCAAATTAATTCGCCAAAATTATTGTGTGACCTTTTTGCACTAAAAAGTGAAATGTTCTTGATATTAAAAGTCTAAATAGGCAATAAAATATTTTTTGTATTTAACTTTTTACGACTTCAGTCCTGATCAATCACAAGTATCGAGTACTTAAAAACAATGAAAGAAAAAGGTGGGGTCAGTGATGTAAAATTGGTCAAAAAATGCGATTTTTAGTCAAAAACGGTGTAAATTGTATCTTGACTTCTTTAATATATCTCCATTTCTCGGCAAAGTTTGTTGAGGGAAGGTGTGATTGTTTTAATATTCTAAAAATATATATATTGATACCCATATTTTATATTCCTTGCATATCATGACGGAAAATGTAAAAAGTATGTGAGGCTTAAGTTCCAAGATATTAAAAAATAAATAAATGTGCACATTTGCAGAAATTTTTTGCTAAATATCCTCCCACGACAAGAAATATTCCCCATCAAGTTTGTTTCTTTGTAAATTTTTGAGCATTTTTTTTCATTGAATGTTGAACAATTTACATTGTTTGATTTCAATATGTAATAAAAATTGATTTATAATAAATAGTTTTGAAGCAATTGGTTTTGTATAAACTTTTCTAAAAAGTGTGACATACCTTGTTTTTTTTTAAAGCTTCCCTTCCCGCTTTTGCCAGAAAATAAATAGTTTCTTATAAATAATAAATGCCAAAAGAACAATGCGAGACCAATTTGTTTCTTATTCTGTGTTTTCATTTGTTACTCATTTTTGTATGGTCTCAAACAAGAATACCTGGTCCATCGCAGATATACAAATATTTTCTTTCATAATTAATCGAATATTATTGTGTCATATTAAGTATAGTGTCATCTCATGATTGTAATAAATATCAGAAAAATTAAGCCATCGTATGAGCTCTTCAAATGATAAAGGAAACAAAGATTCAATACTTGTCATATCATTAATTTTCGTTACGAACATTTGTATTCTTTGAAAATAACGTTTCTGCACATTAAATTTTCAAGTGGTTTAAGAGAATGTCTTTTTCAATTTTCATAGGAGACATTTAATTTGTACTCATTGTTTATTTTCTCTAAATATAGTTTTTTTTAAAAATCATTCTTTCATTATTTTGACTTCGGTTCATGCTAGAAACATGATTTTTAGTGGTTTACACCTATTGCGCATCTAATTCAAATTCCATATAATTAATAGAAATGTTTTTATTAAACACCTTTATTTGATCTCATGATATGTGTCGGAATTTTCTTAGAAAATATTTTTATACTTTTTTATATTACCCTCATGAAGTACTGAGAAATACTGGTTGTATAAAGTGCAGAAAAGTCGAACGTTTTGGATGTTACTGACATTTGATTTTTTTTCAAAGAATACTTAAAGAAGGTTTGATACTGAGCTTAACAACATATTTTGGTCTCGATCTTTATTTAAACAAGAGGCCCATGGGCCTTTTAGGTCACCTGAGTATCATGTAACAACTTTCAAACAATGGAATTTGGTTTGTGCTTTAAAACCAGAGGCCATGAAATTCTTAATTTTGCACAACAGAGACACCGTTGCTTATCATTAATAACTTAGCATGCATACTCTAGTTACTTTATACCAACATCCCTAAATAGATCAGAGTAACAAAGAGAAAATGCATTTCCACTTTGTAAATTCAGTATCATCTGTTGAAAAGGCAACCACATATTTCAAAATTTTGGAAATTTTATTTATCATGAATGATTTATTAATACCAAAGAGCAGATTTCAAAGCATTAATTTATTTTTCAAAACTGTAACCCTAAAGGTTATCAATGATACCCTTGTATTCCCAGGGGGCATGAAATTAACCATTTTGCTAGATGCACCTTTCTTCATCAAAAATATATATACTTAGATCATTGGCATAATACCCATGAGCAAAGAAAAATATTTTCAAAGAATTCATGCATTTTCACTATATAATCATTTGAGACATTTAGAGCCCTGCCCTAACACCAGAACACCTGACCCAGGGGCCATGAAATTGACAATTTTGGAAGAGGCATCCTTCTTATCATAACTATGTTCAAAGTTCATTGGTTTAATACCCAGGAA